CCAATAGCTCAGCTTCAAAAGCCTCCTAACTGAAAAATGGTCAAAGCGATATAGGGTAACGTGCAAGGCTGCATTTATAAAGAAGAGGATGAGCAAATGCTTGAATTCTGCACTTGTTTGAATTTGTGAAGTGTTCTTTTGATAGCTATGCTCCTTCATGTGGAGATGGCAAATTTGATGTTTAAGCAGTGGGTAAAAAAAAGTTGTCTGAGGCTTCCCAGATGACAATCAATCCATTCCCATGTCCTTTCCCTTTTCTACGCTAATAAACATGTGATTTTGATTATACCATGCACCTTCAATAGAAGTACTTGTGAAAAATACGGCCCCATAAATCTTTCTCAAACAAATTGGCAGCAAAAGTTGGATAGTTCGCCGCTGAACAAGTAATGGTCGAAGATAATCTCCTAAAAAGAAACATCCAGACTGTTAGGTAAGAAGACTTCAAAATTAGTGCAATGTATACTCAAGTCTGAGTTCCACTAAAACCTACCGATTTCTTATAAATAAAGTTAAACACCCTTAAATATAGCAAAATGACTTCGCAAACCAAAACTAGAGACGCAAATGGAAATTTCCACAAAACCGAGTCATGATCACATTAAAATTTGATCAACTAGCCGGGTCCGATGTCCAGTGTCCTGAACCGGACACACGCCAAATGACAAGCTGTCCCAAATGACCGGCCATAGTGCCGCATTTGATCGCATATAAGAACTGCCGGTAGCTCTGGCCGAAACCAATCTTTTCATCGGCTTTTCTCTTTGGACAATTTTTTTCCAAAAGCAAAAAGCAACAAGCAAAGATGTCCTTCTGTACGAAAATTCTAATTTCTGTAGCTATTATTGGATCTGCTGCATTTTTCTATGAAGTGCAGGTAAAAAGCAGGATTTTCATACTTTTAAAAGTTTTTAAGGTTGTTACAAACAACTTAATGGTATTTCAGGCAGCACCAACAGAAATTGCTCTTCGCGAGGATGTTAACTCTACTGCTATCGACACATTGACGGGATTAGATCACTCTTTTCGAGTGAAACGACAAGGCGGTGGAGGCGGTGGAGGCGGTGGATGTGGATGTGGATGCTGCTGCCGGCCTAGGTAAGCCTTGATTAGGGAGATATTTTAGAATGGTTCTCAACTCAAATTTACCATTATTCAAATGAGACTAGTTTTTTTTT